GTTGATATTAGAAGGAAAATTATATGTTGCAGGACTGTTTACATATGAACAGTCCAAGCCTGTGTTAATTAGAAACATGTTGAAAAACTTTGTTGGAAAAATTTGAACAAGGATAAGTACTTGGCCTAGTATACAGAATGAACACCCTGTACTTCAAAGTGTTCCACAGCCTCTGTCAAAATTATGTTCAAGCACATTAAGATTGCTTGAAATCTGACACTTTACATTCTGCACTGTTCACATTATTTTCCAGTATTCTAAGTGGTAGCTATGATGGAAATGCATATGTGTGGGATTTTAAAGGTAAATGCTGATTATAAAGTTAAACCACTCTGCAAATTTGAAACTCCAACCCTGCTAGGGTTCTTAGAAAAATGAAAGATTGGCTTTGTTACCTCTTGGAAAATGCCCAAGCCAAGTAGTTCAGGTTTATTGGCCAAGTGGACTTCGGAGGAAAGGGTGCAAGTTTGGGGCCAAGAGGAGTTTTTGGTTGCTTTCACACAGCCTCTCTTCACCTTTGAGTTTAAATGGGTACTATTAAACTGTGAGGGAATGTTAACGAATTGCAAGGAGGGGGAGGGGGGCGGGTCCAGGAAGGAACAGTACGGTTTGTTTGTTTGTTTTTCTATGCTGATGATACTGCCTAGCAGTAGTGAGGGACAAATAGGCTCGTCAGACTTCCACCCAGGGTTACCAAGATTCAAATAGGTGTTTGGAATAAAGCTCCAAGTGACTTTTGATGTAATAGCTACTTCTCCTCCTGTTTCACAAGGGAATAAGAGACAAATCGGAAGACAATCTTGCGGTCTGTCAAAGGTCACGCTTGTTTCCATTCACTTCCTCAATTTTGCTTGCATAAATACTGCACTTATTGTGATACTTACTATGATAGGAACCTGTATTTTGACGTTTGATGGACATACAGCACCTGTGAAAAGTGTCAGCTGGATCAGTGTAGGTAGGTAGCCCATGTTCTGACTAGCATCCAACCGACTGGGTACGCAAATGCGTGAACAAAGAAAGAAATTTGAGGACTTCCTTCTTCCAAACTCCTTTAGCCGCTGACTCGTCTGTTGAGGTTTTAGTGCTGATGCTGCAATAGCTAAACTACGAGCAGTACCTCGCGAAGTCCCTTGCGAGAGTCAAAAAAAGGAACAAATTCAGCGGCACACTAACATCTGTTTTTTACCTGCTTGCAAACCACAGATTATCACGCGCAAAAGCAAGAGGTTGGAGTAAGCTCTCCCTTTGCTTAAGGAACCAATCAGAGCATTGGGAAAGCAATATTCGAAGCTGGCAGGCTTGGCTTTACTTTAAAAAACTTATAATTATCCTCGAAACGGATCCTACATTGTGAAGTGATATCATAGGGGAAAGAATAAGTGTTTCTGTTTATTTTTTTTTTTGAAGATAACGACGTGGGCGTCTTTTTAAGCGCTTCACACGACCAGTCCATTCGCCTCAGTGAGGTATTTGTATAATCGCTGTATAATGATTCATGTCACTTTTAACAATTGGTTCATGCATCGCGTGCGTATAGCGAGGAATGGATGCTCCTTGGAAGTTGCCTCGCCCTGAGAAACTTTTACGCCCCTCTAGTACTCTCCAAACTTCCAGCGTGAGTTTGAACGACGATACGCGCGCGCAAAGCATGACCCAGTTATAAGTTTTGCCATGAAAATGTGCATTCAGTCTAATAGAGGCAGCTAAATATTAGTTAGATGAGGTAGAAAAGCTCGTGAGGGGCAATGCCAAACCAAGAAGGAATGCTGAAGTTGAGGGATGTAGACTTTTGAAATGGCGATCTTGAACAAATGAGGCTAATTTTTTTGACAGAGCAATAACTACTACTTGAAGTACGTTGTTCTATTATCTCCAAAACGGAGAACTGCCAATAGTAATGAGAGAAAACACAGTACAGGGTCATTGGTGAAAGAAATTGTATCCTCAGAATGAGATATCGTTAGAGCTAAATGAATTAAGATCTTTCAAGGTGATGCCTTCTTCTTAAGAGGAAATCGGCTGTTGTTTCGACTTGGACATGGCCAATTTTCTTAATTATCTTCAGCCACATGTTGAAGGTGGCTCTGACAGCTCCAACAGCTCATTCTTCTTTTTAATCCGCCAGTGGTCACGTGATAAGGATACAGCCCAATGCATTCATATCTGTAAAGGTCACACCCAAAGTGTGGACACACTAGCAGTTGATTCTTCACAAACAAAGGTAAACAGGTTGCACTTAACGAAAAAAATTGTGGTATCCTACTGGTTTTGCTTTATGTTGTTCAGTCTGTAAATTTCGCGATTGCCTCTCAGCCAATCAACTTTTTCATGCAACCAATCACAACTCGATCACAATGGCCAATTAAAACTCAGGAAAAGGTTACAAGGAGCCGTAAGAAACCAGAGCAAATAAAAATAAATTTTGTTTTATCAACTTAGTTGATAATCCAAATTTACCAACGTAAAGAGTTTCAAAGCCGAAGTTTCGAGCGTTAGCTCTTCGTCACTGGCATTGACGAAAAGATAACGCTCAAAGTGCGAGCTTTGAAACTCTTTACAGTTATTAATTTACATTATCAACTCAGTTAATAAAACCGAATTATTTTGTTATACTACTCCACTGACGCAGCACCATAGTTTGTGTAGAAACGTACCTCCGAAAAACAAATAAACTGTGAAACGCGCGGAAGACGTGAGAGACCAATTCGCGATTGGTTTTGTGGTTGATTGTTTGACAAGGTATCGCGAGTTTTCGAGGGCAGTCATAGAGAGAAGTAGCAAAGAAAAACAATTATAATCCCGAACTGTTTTCGACACCCTAATGAAGAGTGTTTTAATTTCTTCTTTCCTTGGCTGTTGGGATTGCACGATTGAAAAGTGTTGTAATAGCTCGAATTTCATAACAATGTTCTGCGCAGTTGAGTTATTTTGAAATTTCTTTTTTGTAGTTTTGCAGCGGCTCGTGGGATAAAACACTAAAAGTATGGTCTGCTGGTAAGTGTCTGTTACTTTATTTGTTGTTTTGTGTATTGTAATCGTTACTTTTTGTTATTTTATCATCTAAACGCGGCCTTTTGCGATGTGAGATGAGAAGCTTAGTGACCTGCGAACGAAAATTGCGAAGAACTGAGATCCGAAGAGGACGGACGATCAGCAGTCGTTTAAGTTAAAACTAAGCCTAACCAGGGTCTTAATTTTAGTTCCAGACCCTTCAGCATCCGATGAAACAGGCGATGAAGAAAAAGTAAAGAAGAAGCAAAAGACAATGTCAAACAAAAGAAAAGAAACCACGCGGGTAAATATACCGGCGTTAAAAGGCCGTTTTTTTCGCCATATTTCAGGTAGCCTTTATTGTAACGGTAAGCGACAAGGGTGGTTTCACTGCTGGTACGCAGGGGGTAATCTCAAGATAGAGTAGTTTCCAGTCCAGTAGGAGCAGTGATGCTCCTGAGTAGATTCCCTGGACGCTATCAAAACAGGGACAAGGTCTCGCCTGTTAAGCCGTTTTGCTCGTAGAAGGAATTTTAATGAGCAGTTTGATAGTAATTTGCAGCGTCGGTGGAAAGGCACATACTTGTAGACTTTTGACCCAAAACTGATAACAGGAACCTACTAAACTTAAAATGTTCAGGTGACATTTCGACAGTGGAAGGTCATCGCTGTCTACAACGGGAGCTAGGGTGCGGTAGCAGTCCCACGAGTATTTCAGTGAAACGCAGTGACTGGTCACGTGAGGTTAACTTATGTTTCTTCCCAGACTCCACTCATGACCCTATCGGGGCACACCGAGGCTGTGTCTAGCGTGTTGTGGATCGACCAAAGCACGGTTTGCAGTGCAGGCTGGGATCACACCATTCGAGTTTGGGACATCTCCGCTGGAGTTAACAAACATACCCTGGTAAGTTTTCTGCAAGACTTTTCCGAGATGAACAAGGTCACACTTCGAAAAAAGGCATTTTTTTACCTCTCTTCTCTTTCAGAATGGCTCCAAAGTATTCTGTGACATCTCCTACTCTCCTTTAGCAAGACTTCTCGTTTCTGGTAGCGCCGACAGACATGTTCGCCTTTGGGATCCCAGAACAACCGGTGAGTCAAGAGTGGGACGGGGGAAAGGGAGAAGGGGGCTGGTGAAACTCATGCATTTCGACTATCTCACAAGTCATTAGAAATTTTGTATGGTGCTGACTATTTCGTAGTCATAGAACCCTTTGACCTGAAACTTAGACTCACTGGGTAGGATCTTTGCCCCCATTCCCTCTTCAATGATCGATATAAACTTCTGTCCTGTAAATTTGGTTTTTTAGCCTTTCAATGGAATAGGGAAAGGCAGAACTCAAAAAGAGCAAACTCTTTTATATCTTGAGACTTAGGGTTTGGCTCAGATATTGCCTATCCTTTTAGAACCGATGCTTCAAAATAGTAAAACTGAAGCGGGCCCTTGCACTCTGGAGGAGATTGTGCGATTTATCTTTAATATCGTTGTTGTTGTTGTTGTTGTTGTTGTTGTTGTTATCATCATAAATATGTTCTGTTACTGGAGGCACATAGCTTTGTCAGAAAATTTTGAATCATTTGATTGGATTATAGAGAATATTGCCATTAAAAGCAAGTACACCGTGAAATAATGGCAATTTTGGATGGACAAACGCAAAATTGGTGAGGAAAAAAAAATAAAACAGCGAGAATTGTTAACGATGGAGGAGATATGTATAAATTGCGGATGTTCAACCCCAGTTAGTTACGAAAACTGTTTTTGTTTTTTTAGACGGAGCTGTGGTAAAGAAAACTCTGAAGTCGCATCAAGGCTGGGTGTCGTCGGTGGCTTGGTCACAAAGCAGCGAGTACGAAATGATTTCTGGGTCATACGATACGACTGTCAATTTGTGGGATACACGGAGGTACTTTAATATGTGACTTTCGCGTTTGCTCCAAGGTGTATCTGTTCGTGTGCTTTAGTCTGCAATGAAATGTTTTTCTTCTTTTACAACCAGCCTAAATACTCCGCTGTTCACAATGACTGAACATCAGGACAAAGTGATGAGCGTGAATTGGACGCTACACTCTGTGAGTATTCCCCCATGAAAAGTCTTGTAAAACGAGGGCCGGACCATTCAGTTTTTGAGTAGAAGGGGTGCGGGGTGGTGGGGCTAAAGGGCTTGACACTTGTCAAGAAGAGATACCACTGTGTCTACAACTCTCCTACAAAGAAAATGTAGTTTTAAACATATTGCATCCCAAGAGAAGAATTCATAGAAGAAAGAAAATAGTTCTTACCGATGAATACATTGACAATAAACTTGGAGAACTGATAAGGTTAACACCCCACCCCTACCCCCATCCCCACCCTATTCTGTCAAAATTAAATAAGAAATGGTTCTTTTCATGATTTTCTGGTGCCGCGCTATTTCCTTTGACGCAATTGATAACATCTGTCATTCTGGTTTTTTTTTTTTTTTTTACGTTCACAGAGTATTTTAAGCGGTGGTGCTGATAACCAGTTGATAATTTATGATATCTCTGGGGGAGGCCGGAGAACGAGGAGCAATGATATGGAATAGCAACCCTGACATTCACTTAGCCAAGTAATCGACGGATTACGAGGGCCATGATAAGTACGCGTATAAAAATATAAAAATAAAACCGTTATCATTTTCTTCTCACTGTCGTCAGCGTGGTTCATTCTTCAAAAAAGGAACGGAGATTAGTTTTTACAGTACATAGTCGTACTAATGCCGCCAATGTCAGTGTGAATAGCGTGCGTGACGAATAGCGTAAGTTAGACGAATAGTAACGGTGATATTTGTTATTATTTAAATAAATGACGACGGTATTGTTAGCAGTTCGAAGAGAATAGACAACAATAGTCAACTTCAACTTTGAAAGCAACAAAAAATTGAGACATGTAAATGGTACTAATATTTCTCAGCCTCGTATAGCTCGCCTCACAATGTCTCGAAGTCAAAATTGCTTAGGTTAAACGGTATACATTGGTGAAAAGTTCTGAAGGATTATATGCAGCCATTTCCGAGAGAAACCAGCGGACTTAACTTCGACGAATTAGCGTCCATGAAATATGAAAAATTTCGCTCAGCCGTACTTCCTCATCGGTTGGAGGAACTGATTTCAATTTCGCATGATAACTTGCTTCATGTGAAGATTTATCTCACGAAAAAAAAATGCAATTGTTAAGTAGGCCTTTAAACATTAAGTGAACACGTGGCCTTACCTAAATCTAAGTGTATCCCACTATGGTTACATTTTGACTAAATGCCATCAATGATCAGGAAAAAAGCTTGTTATGGTAATGGTTGTTATGTCATGGTAAAATGCTCATAAGGTTTTGCACCCTATCAATAGAACAACCACAGAGCTTTCGAGCGAAAGGTATTGGGAATACATACTTTCGCCATTAGATTGGTTCCATTTTTTAGTTTGAGTAAACAAGTTTCACGATGTACTTGGTTTGAGGAAAAGAATTATTGATTTACGTTTAACACTCGTTTGATAGTTCCTTGGTTTGTTTTTCATCCTCTGGATGTCACCACTATCCTGTAAAGATGGATGGACGAGAATTTTCCTTTGATTAAAGAATTTATTAAGAAATCTGATTCGTGTCGACATGATTTAATTACACAAAATTTAATTTAAAACCTCTTCTATAGAACCTGACTTGGTACGCAAATTTACCACCAATACTCGTAACAGGAAACTTTCATGTTAACGCAGAGTTCTTTCCTAAACAATTCAGCAAATTCTCGTAGCTAATGTATGAAAATCAGGGAGAGAAAAAACAGCTGTCAAATCGGGACCGAAAAAATACAGCGGTCAAACGTTAGGCATGCGCAAATGGTTCATAACAATTTCGCCGGCTGCGCGCCAATTTCCCGCGCAAAATCTAAAAGGAAAACAAAAAATGCAACAAAAACGCAACATTTGCAAACAAAAATGGAATCTTTCAAAGAGATCTGTAAACAAGAAAAAAGGGTTGGGGAAAGGAAACCTTGAGAATTCTCGAACATAAAGCTCATTCTCTAATGGTACCTTGTCAATTTATCATTTTGTTTGGAGCTTTATCAAACAATTTATACCCGTGTAAAATACAGTGATTGACGGACTTGTGAGGTTGTTCTAAGTCTAGTGAGGTTACATAGTTCTGAAAGCCTGAAAGCATGTCAGCAAGCCTCTACAACAATTGCACATGCGCAGACGTTTGATCGCTGTGTTAACGGAACGCTTTAGATGCCGTACCACTTAGGAACTTTTCTGCTGGAACACTCCATGACGCTTAATGACAGCTTTGAAGGTGCGAATCTGCATCGGGGTGAGATGCAAGTTCAAATCCGTTTCCTTTCGCGCTACCATTTTCTTCTTTTCTCTTTGTTCTTGCTTGTTCTTCTTGTTTTTTATATTCCAGTGGAGAGGCTGCTTGTCTTTTAGCAACTGGTTGGCGGCCAAATTCATTTCAGTCATGGACTCGACGGTAAAATCGGTGAAGAGCTCTGCCAAGGAAATGTTGACGGGTTGCGAAAGCTTCGGATCCTCACCACCCTCGAATTGATGCTCAACGCGAATCAAAGCGAGGTCCTTCATGGTCTCCAGCGTCAACAAGTGAACATTGGCTGGCAGCTCACGAGTGAGACCGTTGTGCAGTGCGTTGTACTGACTCGTCCACTTCTTGAACGTAAGGCTGTTGGGTGCGAAGCCGAGCACAGGCCCCAGCAAAAGCTTCTCGCCAAGCTCGCGATGCAAAGCTGCAGATTCCTTAGGCGGTGCTAAAATCAGACACAGCTTTCCGCGCACGATCAAACCTTTACCACTGATCCCCGTCTCATTCAGCGGCTCAGCCACGCCTCTCTTGTCATCTTTGAGAAGCCGCCGGTGAAGCATGATCTCCATGGAGCCATCTTTCATGCTGGACCCGCCCAGAGACCGGTCAGTCAGAATCGTCAGTTGTTTCTCACTGTCTCTGATGTACATTCGACTGTTGACTGGGTAGTAGTTCTCAGCCACTGGTTCAGTGTTGTTCAGCTTCCATGTTGGTCGGTAGTTCCTCTTACGTTCCTGCATCTCCCTTCCATTAGCATCCGTGTAGAACAGCTCACTGGAGTGGATATCCGTGTCAAACCGGGTGATGATTTCTTTACCCCATTTATCCCCTACTGGGATTGGTCCGACTGTGTATTCAAACTCAGCGTGTCTTTGCCCGGCATACAGCCTGACCACTTGGCTGATGAACGGTGATATCACCTGGCGTACCTCTTGCACAACAGTACCCTTAAAGACCTCTACTTTGCTGCTCTGGGGGATCGGTATCGGTTGGCTGCTGTTGGGTCTAAAGATGTAAGCACCGGAAGGCTGTGTACTGGCATCTTCTCCCAAGCTGCCGTTGTACCAATAGAACCCTTGGCTTAACACAGTTGTAGTCTTGGAACTTTTGTCAGTCATACTCGTCAAATGACCAGTATCTTCCGTAAACGACAGTTTGATAAACTCATTCTCGATAGAGACTTCGTCTGCGTCTTCGTAAACACGCTTGGGGACGTCTTTGAAAATTTTACTCTTCACTGTTGACTTAGTAGAGTTCACGAAGTAAGTTGCAAAGCCAAGAGCAGGAACTTTGGCAAAGAAAATAAGCTCAAAAGATGAGTCGCCTTGTGTCAGGTTCTGAGCTTGACGAAGCAGTCTCGTTTCGTTAGAAACCGGTAACATTTGACTTTCGATAAGTTTACCTTGTGGGCTAAAAACATTCATCGAGGCCAGCGCTACTGGAAGGCGAACAACAGCGTCTACAGCTCGAGCAAGAGGGTTGTACACAGTTACTGTGAAGGACTTGGTCTTTTCAGTCAGAGGACATACGCTTACGTTGAGGTGGTCACAGAAAGTCAAAGTAGGAGGCTTGATTTCAGGGTTTTTAACTTTAAGTTTGTTAAGAACATCACCAACCAGCTCCTAAGTATGATAAAGAATTATGTCTTAGTACTCCTCTCCTTTTTTTTCTCCAGAGACCCTACAGTAACCCCTTTAAATGACTTCAGACTTAAGATGATTTCTGTAGGGATTTCAGGTTGCGAACTGAAAGTTATCATTTCTGGGTGCCATGTGGTTCTGGGTGTGCTGGGACTTATACCCTCCCGGCCCCCCACCCCCTCCTCTCTACCAATAGTTTTTTTTTTTGTTTTGTTCTGCCATATGCTTATCGTCAAAAGAGGAGTTCGAATGTCAATTGTATAAAAGAGAAAAACAAACAAAAGCATTAGCTTTTGTTTCTTTTTTTTTCTCTTTTATCATTTATTAATGGGGTAAGTTCTTCATTTTCAGGATTTCCTCCTTTACTACCTGTCACTCAAACCTCTTTACATCCCGCAGGACATTATCAGGGATATAGGCGGGATGCCAAACATGGGGCCAAATGTTAGAGTCTCATTGAAAGTTAGAAGCAAACCAGAATGTTCTAATAAAAAATATTTTTCAAGCAATGAACATCCTATTAAAAATAAACAAGATCTGATCCATCTAAATTGATCCATTCATGTGACCACAAATTACTTCTCAAGGACTTCCCTGATCTTATTCATCTAAATCTTTTGATCAAACTCAATTGTAAGAATGTTCAATGAAACATACTCTGTATCAATTTGAATCACAGTCATAACCAATAAAAATGAATCTTATAAAATGTTCCCACACACAACAGTTGATTGCATGATCATTCAAAGTTTTCAAAGTTTTTGAAGTTATCAAAAAAGTGAAACAAATGCATGTACTAAGATAAATTATGTGCCTGTGATATGACAGAAAGATTAGACTCTGAATTCTTCATAAACTTTCTGATGTGCATGAGTTCAGAATTGTATAGGTTATTGATAAATTCAAATTTAAAAAGCCTTTTGGTAAGACAAAAGTATGAGTATTAAGACAAATAGGGCAGCCTGTAATGCTAACACCACATTCATGATTCTAATAACATCATATATCCCATATAGCCAGAAGGTAGGAGAAACAACAAATGAGGAGGAGCTGCATTCCAAAATATTTTGCAAAATAGAAAAAAAAAAAAAAAAGAGAAAGGAGCTGACAACATTGACAAAAGCAATGTTTTTAACATACCTGACATTCTGCTGCACCAATAGCAAGGCGTTTGGCATAGTCATCAGCCACATGCTGTTTTGATGTACCACTGACAGCATCATGGTGCTGAGCCACACCCATGGCTCTGCGCAGTGTATCTGAACTTGGGCCATTTTTCTTTGCAGGACCATTCATCACTTCCAGCTGTTTACAAACCTACAAAAATAAAATAAAAGTTTGGGTAATGTTGACGCAATGGACCTGTTGAGTCTAAGCTTAAATTCTTTGAAGGAGACAAGTAGAGACAAATGGTCACCAGAAGTAAAAGGAAAATTTAAAAAAAAAGTATTGTAGCAATCATTTTGGAAGTCAATGCAACATCTCAAAGTCTAATTCCCCGCAACCAAAGAGACAAATTTTTGTCAAAAAAAAAAGATGGAGCATTTCACTGATTACAATATTCCATGCAAGCATTCTTGGTTTAAATCCAGATCATAAACACCAAGCAAGTAAAAAGCATCAAAGCTTTGTGCATTACCACTGAATCAGGGAACTAAATTGGCGACTTTTGGTGCAAAGTTAAATGCTGAAATTGTTTCTACCTGTCATGGAGACTGAAATGGTGACAGCTTGGAGGGCTGATTTGTCAAAATTCAGGGATGCAATACTCTTCAAGATACTGATCAAAACATTATTTCAAAGTTATCATCAACAGAAAAAAAAAATGAAGATACCTAGTATTTAAGAGTTATTTGGCCATGAGTATTTTCTTTTCACATAAACCTTTACAAATGTTTTCTGATGAGAAAATCCCCAAGTTTGGAACCCTTGGACAAAGCTTGGAACTGCAATTTTCCAGATATACGGGTTCCAGGAACAAAACAAATATTTCATACCATCCCCAGGGGTGAAGTTCTCGTATCTGAACTGGTACTTGACTCACAGACAAAAGAGGTAAAGACAACTTGTTTTCAAGTACATGAAAACTTTACTTAAAAGAAGAATTTACGCACACCTCACACTGAAAACAACCCTTTTCATTCCATTGTCAATGTTGCTGTATTTTGTAAAATATGCTTTGCAAGGAAACTAACTCTGAAAACAACACTAAAACAGGGACAGGGGCAGGAAAAGCATTGAAATGAGCATGAAAAGAATAAGTAAAAAAAGGTCTTGAAAACAAGTTACATGTTGCATTTCAGGTTGTCTCAAAGTTTGTGTGAAATTTGTAAACCCTCAATAGTTAAAATCTTGTACATTTTTTTAGTATATCATCACGCTTCCACTGAAATTACCTTTAAAGAAACCAGGCACACTCAGGAAAGTGGACCTAATTCAAGAGAACAGAAAACAGAAAGTGCAATAATAATAGAAGCTCAACTGCCCTATTCTAACCTGAAGTAAGTTGTTGTTGTATCTGACATATTGCTTGAGTGCAGGACGGCTGGTAAAATAGCCAGTCCAGTAACAATGTGGACAGTCAGCGTACGGAAAGAAGTCATCTGTTTTTAATTCCCAAGTTTGATTGGCTTTATACAAAGCGTCCAAGTAGGTGGTAGGAGTGGAGTAAAATGCATTAACGCGGCCATCCTGGAGACACAAAGGAAGGAAAAAAGATTCCACATCAACCCATATAACTAAACATTTTTTTTGTCTAAAAACCTCTGTAACATAACCTACAGAGAGATTTTTCCTGTAAGGTAAGAATGGGTCTGCTCTCAAGCATAGTAGCACACATCAAGAGAGCTTATCTGAGTTTCTCTTGCATTAATCCTTTACCACTAGGGGTGAAAAGCATATAATTTCTCTTTACAATATCACCCCTGGATCAAACATTAAGGTCACGAGAATGGAGAAAATGATCATTAACTATGGCAGCTCTTGATTTTAAACAAATTCCCCTTCCCAGCACCTTAGGAAATGTATAGAGATCAGTTTAGAGTACTGATGTTGCTGGTAACCCCCTCACCCTGATCCTCACACACCCCTAAACATAATGGCTATATTCCTTGATATATGCAGTTCACTGGTACCCGTTGGTGCTCTTAAGTGAAGACACTTTAAGAGAAAAGCATTATGCACCAGAATAAATCACATCAGAATTACATAGTCAGGGTTTACACCTGTAAATCATGACTACGATGATCTCATGAACATGTTTTCTACAAAGCTGTGACATTTAATCCAATACAATACATTAATTGAAAAACAAACAAACAAACAAACAATATCAACAACAACATTAGACTAAAAGTTACCCATAGACAAACAAGCACTCACTTCATGTACATATCTGATAAGTTTGTCCAAATTCTTGTACCAAAGGTTGGCATTCTCGTACATGAAATCTGAACCCATAGTTAAAATTATGTTTTTAGTTTTGTACTGCGATGCTTGCTTGCAGGTTACTTGTACAAATTTATCGACAGATTCTTTTACATTCATATCAAATAGCCTCGGGTCATCCTGTACAGGATTGTCAACACAAAACTGATCGTAGCAAAATCCAGGGGGTGGGTTGTACCCGTTGTAGAGAACTCCGGTAAAAATGTCGGAGTCTTTTCCAAGATTTCGGCTTCCTCTCCACACAAGCTCCATTCGCTGCTGTTTCAAACGTAATTCCTTGTCAGCGTAATCGATCCGACCGAAAAAAAATCCATCGAATGACATTTGAGCAAAGATTGAAGCTTGTTCGTTTGAGTGACCGAATGGATCAATATGCCAAGCTATACGGGGTCTTGCTTCTGATCCAAATGTCTCCTGCACGAAATTAAGTCCATAAGTCATTTGATCAATGATCGCATTGTAATGTGTGGCTGCTTCGTCGTTCATACACCAACCAGCGTTTATAAACTCCAACTGTTTGTTTGCAACAAGCCTCTTGACTTCCGTTTTCATAGCTTCATTTTGTTCGTTCCACCAGCGCTCAAAAAATGCGATTTCTACGTAGATAAATCGCTTGGTACTATCTGCAGTTAACTGGGGAATGACAGAGTCCAAAATGTATTGAACACCAGCATGTTGAATAGAATTATTAGCTCCGTAATAATACTCGTCCACTGTTTTCAGCCAGCCAACGTCATCGTGCGTGTGGGGAACGAGATGGACTTGCAGTTTCTCATCGTCGTTCAGGGCACGGTCAGATTTACACTCGAAGGCTGCTCCAAGGCAAAAAAGACTTACAGTGAAGAAGAAAATCACCATTCTCTTCTTTCTTTTGAAGATACAGGAGCCAAAAAACTCTAATCTCCAAGTAAATGTTTGACCAAGAGTTTACGTTCGACAAACCAAGTCACGAGATATTTCCGTGAAATTGTCTAAGAGGATGAGGAAGACTGAAACTAGTAGTTTCCAGTGTGCACGCATGACTTTGGTTTTCATAGACTAGACTACGTATTACGCATCACATTCAATGCTGCAGCCAGCAGCCGCGTTCCTCCTTGTGTCCTGCTACAGTTCATACAACACGTCTTTATTTCAACAGAAGATCTCTCAAGTGAAATTTTGCGGCCCTAATTCATTCAAGGTTCAACTGACGGAGCGCGTTATTTTCACGAAAACTAATTACTGGGATA